TCTATTTTTACAACTCTCTTTCCATTTCAGATTATCATGAAGCATCACCTGTGACCAGTAAGTACACCTTTACAAAGGTTCCTTGAGCCATGGATTCCAACTTTGGTACACAATCTAAATGTTTAATGTTGTCCCAAATAATCCAATTGCGGAGCAAGTAAAGTAGTATGCTCTAGCGGCTTTTGCCACAAACAATGTCGGGAAACCACAAGGATGTAGAAGCAGGTTAAATATTAAGAAGATTTTCCAGACAGTAAATGTTGTCAACCAGTGCACCATGTCAATTCTCAAAATAGACTATTCAGTAGAGATCTTCAAACAGAGAGTGGATACTGATTTCTGAAATTCCAACTCTGATTTTGACCATTAGGGACAGTTCTGTAACTCTGAACAAGAATCCGCCTTGTGAATTTATTCCGCTTCTTGGGACTTTACACAACAGCATATTCAGTGGTGGGATTCAAATATGTGAATAACCGGTTCTCTGCATGGATGCCGCTTCTAGAAGTCCATTCTAGGCCTGGGCAACAAAATTAGCTACCGGTTCTGCCGAAGTGGTGCGAACCGGCTGAATCCCACCACCCAGCATATTGCCTTTTGTATACTACTGTTTTACATTCTTGAAAAGTGCTACCATAATCCTGCGCAGTCCTGTTCTCAAAGCTTAACCCAGGGTCCCCAACCTATGGTCCAGGGCCCGGGACTGGGCCGTAGTCTCTTGGACAGTGGGCCACAGAAACGGCTGGCCGGTGCACGCACGTGTGCATGCGTATTTCCCCCAGTCATGCTAGTGTCCGCTGCCCCGTTTGCACATGCGCATGGGCGCAAATGGGGATGCTACCGTGAAGCAGGTGTCTGCAGCTCATTTGTGCAAGCGCCGCTAGCCCAGGCAGTTTGTGTGGCCCGTTGGCCCATGCGTGAACAGGCCTCTAGCCGACATGGCGGTTACGCTGCCATTCACGCATGTGCATGGCGCCACTGCATGCCGCATGCACAAATGGGGCTGCTAGCGGCAAGCCAGTGTGTGTGGTTTTGTGTGTGCGCGCAAGCGCGCTCACCAATTTTGAAATTGCTTTCCTTCGGTCCTCAAACCCGGAAAGATTGGAGACCTCTGGCTTAACCCATTAATCTTTCTTTTGCACAACTTGGTTTCCAGCCCTTGCTCGTCCTTTTTGCCCTTTTCTGGACCCAAAACAGATCGAGAATAACAGCTTGTGAAAAGGATTTGCTTTTTCTTAAACTTCTGTAATGCACCACTGAGCCCCAAGTTCATGATAGGAACTATAAAATACAAAGCAGTGATTGATGGATAGATTATATACTATCAGTTCTCATTTCCATATCTCACATCCATTATTCCTCTTCCAGCTGTTTCTCCCACTTCCAAACCTCCAGTGACAACCGAATGCTTTACGGTCAACTTCACTGCAACTAATTTGATCTATAGGCCACAGATGGATAATCCGAAGTCAAAGCTCTTCAGCTCAACGCAAAAAGTCTTCGGTAACTTGGTGAGGAGACAAATGCATACTTACCCAAATAGCTCTTCCACATAAGATTTTCACAAAATAGTCAGCAGTAGTGTTTTACTACCAGTAATAAATACATAGTTTTTCCTTTAAACCTAGTTGGGACAAATTTTGAACACCAGCAAGATTGGTCCTGATTTCATCAACTGTAGCTTATCAACATTAAGGTAAGTAATATGGGATGGAGATTTTTTGTGATACCTAAATGCCCTCTAATGGGGATGATGTCTCGCAACATTTAGTCTATTTGAGAGAACCCATAGTTTGTTTCAGTTCCAGTCTGTAACATATCACATTGATATAAATATCTCTAAGACTCCTTTCCACATCTTCATCCCAAAACATTTCTTTGCTTCAATATTCATTTCCGATCATTGTGCTGGAGGCCCACGATTAGCTTCCTCCGTGCCTTCCCAAAATCAGGTTGGAAGTGGAATTTAAAATTTAAAAACATCAGATTAAAAATACTGTATGAAAACTTCCAAACCTTACCTCTGTGAAGTCATCCAAAGTCCTCTACAGCTTCTCTGAATATGTCTCAAGTTGTGTCTTTTCATTTTCAGATCTGTGAATCAGGGCAAGAACACCGGAGTAGACAGTGTCTGCTGCTATCGTAAAATCACCACAGCTCCCCCTTTTGATCGAGTGAACATATATCACAAATTCATAAATGAGACCAACGGTTTCACCAAGATAGAGACATATAGCCTGGACCCAAACAGCCTTTTTGTTAATGGTAAGAAGCAGAGATTGTTGTCATGGCTAAAGAGGCTATGAGGTTGGCACTGAATCGATTCTGACCAATGTTAAGTAACTTAAGTGATAGTTCCTCTCGGTGACACAATGGACAGCTGCCAAAGTGCTATAAGACTTTCTTGAGCTCTACCAAATTCAGGCCACAGAAATTTAGATGGCAACATGTTTATTAACTTGTGATGGTTATTTGGAATTTTGCAGTCCAGACGTGCTGG